ATCCCGGGACTCCAGGATCATGACCTGAGCCGAAGGCAGTCGCTTAACCAACTGAGCCACCCAGGCGCCCTTAATTGCTTTTCTTAATATTTGGGCATTTGCTCTGGCACTATTAAAATATATTCTCCCCTTAGATGAAACAATGGCTAGCAAATGTTGTTCACCAAGGGCTACATTTCCCAGCCACCACTGCATCAAGAATGTTTTAAAAATACATACAACAAAATACTAGAATTATAAAGGAAATAAATTACATTGAATCCAATTATCATAATACTCATAAAATTAGTGATATGATAATATACAGATATATTAGTGATCTATTGCTATGGAACAAATTACCCCAAAACTTAACTCCTAAAACATACATTATCTCCTGGTTTCAGTGGGTCAGGAGCAGCTTAGCTGGGTGGTTCTGGCTCAGAGTCTTTCAGAAGGCTACATTGAAGGTGACAACCAGGGATGCAATCATCTGGAAGCTTGATAACAAAACATATCTGTGATTTCTCTTTGCTACAAAGTCACAAGTACTGCTAATACTTCTGTGGTTTTTGCCTACATTCATAACTAAAGGAAATGATAAATTCTGGGTCAGAGTTAAAAGGGATGTAATTTTCCCCATACAAGTCTACTGACAGCTCTGAATTCTAATGGATCCTTTGGAGCTTATGGACCCTTGAATTCAATCCATGGGCCCTATGAAATGAAGGAGCCACAACACAGCTTAGGACCCCGGGTCACTGCTCTGGGAAATATCTACTAACCTGTCATAATGTTGAGAGAGAGAAAGCTTCTACCGCACCTGAGCCCCCATGCATTTTAGAGTCATTTGTTACTACAGCCTAGTCTACGCTCCCTAGTACATTTGTCAGTTAATTAGGATATTGTTACTTTCTTCATTTTTGTTCTTCAACATATACTTTTGAGTAAAAATTTCAACTTACCTTTGTGTTAAATTCCATATATGTTTCTGCTATCATAGAGCATCCATCTTATTCCACTAACAACTAACTTAATATGTATTAAAGACATAAATGGAGACTAAATTATATTTTTCAGTGACTTTTACTTTATTTTTTCCCTTCAGTTTTCAGTTTTATACACCAGATGGTTGCCAGCTGGAACCCTATGAATAAATTGCAAGTGACCAATAATGATAAATATTTGTGTTGCTCCTGTTCCTGAATGATTTTTAAGCACAGTAATGGACTTGTTTTCAAACAATGAGCATCTCACTGTGGGGGCAACAGATCATCTCATATGCCATTGCCAGAAATATCTCCCTGAAATCTCCCTAAAATATCTCCCTAGACATTCTGTGTCTAGGCAAAGCTGCTGGATGGGTTTGTGTTGGCAGAAAGTAACCTAGCTACAGTACAGTATTAAACTTTTTTTTTGTTGTTATGGACATAAAAACAAATAATGGCACAAACACTAGAAAAACAAAGTCAGGTCCATGATTTTATAATCTTTTCTAAAATTGAATTTAAAAATAAGCCAGTGGTGTTAACTTTTAACCGAACTAGCCGGATTCCACTATGACAAAATGAATTTTGAAAATAATTGTCTTGCAAAAGATCAAGCCATTTTTAGGCCTATCTATCATGGTTGGTTGGAATTCAGCATATCAGTTCCTTTTAAAAGATTTATTTATTTATTTTTAGAGAGGGGGGAGGGGCAGAGGGAGAGGGAGAGGGAGAACCTTGAGCAGATTCCCCACTGAGCAGGAAGCCCAGTGGGGGGGTTGGGTGGGAGGGTGGGGGGGCCTCCATGCAGGGCTCAATCTCACCACCCTGAGATCATGACCTGAGCTGAAATCAAGAGTCAATCCTTTAACTGACTGAGCCACCCAGGCTCCCCTATAAGTTCCTTTTAAATGGAAGCAATTTAACATAACATTGTTTTCTCACTGAACTACAGTATTTCTCTTCACTGCTCAAGAGAAGATTCATGAAGCAAAACAGAAGACTGTAGGACAACCAGGAAAAAAGAAAAAAAAGAAACAAACTCAAAAATTCTTTCTGGAAGAAAATATCCCCCTCGTAGTAATTTAGAATTAGGTTTATCAAATAACATAATTTAGTATAGGATATTTTATTCTTTGTTAGAATTTTGACACCTGATTTATAAGAACCACACACAAAAAACATCTTTTCTTTTTCTTAACTCCTCAGGATCTTACACAATTCAAATAAAATTAAGTAATCTAAATTTTAAAGTTTTTTGTTTATAAAAGTAAAGCTTATTGTAGAAATTTTATTAAATGCAGAAAAGCGAAGGGAAAAATTGTTTAAAAATAACCTATAATGTGGCCATCCAAGTAGAAATACTGTATCATTTTGAGGTTTATTCTTCTTGTCTATTTCTATACAAATACACATAATTTTTTAATGAGTTTTTTTAGGATTTTTTTTTTTTAGCAATTCTGACTAGGATTAACAGGTAAAAGAGACAATCTTGTCTTCTTAAATTTTTCCAAAGAAGCTTCGTTTTTATTGTATTTTCTTTCTTTGTAATTTTCACAGGGATGAAGCCTATATTATTTCCGCTCTGAAGTTTAGTGATAGTTTTCCTGAAAAGCTAGGAGCTAAGCAGCCATAAAACCTTTGCTCTTTTAGAGCCAGACTCCTATCGTTGTTCCAGGTTATTAGTCAGGATGTTGATGTTGTAGACAGGGCTAAACAAACATGATGAAAGCCCCTATCTAAAAACTCACAAATACTGACCTTGCTTTCAGAAGACAGGCCATTTGCAAACAAAATGATAAATGATCAAGTGATATTTAACAACAAAGGAAAAATCCAGGCCTTTTGGGCTCAATCCATCTTTCTCCTAAACTACTCAAATATAGGGACAATTGACAAGGTAGTTTTCAGAAAGGTTAGAGCTTCTTAATAATTTGGAAGACATCCATTTGGACTGCTTCCAAGCGTAATTGCTCACAAAATATTCCCCCAAAGTGTTTTTGACCTAATCTCAAACACATCCACAAGGATGGAGTTTACAACCTCCCACTTCAATGTTGCAAATTCTCCCCCAAAAAGTAGTAGAAAGGACAAAGGCTTTGATTTAAACATTGAGTTAAACTTAACTTTCAGTTAAAACCCTGGGTCTTCAATTTGTTAGCTGTTGGGTAGATTTTTTAATCCTGAAAAATATCAGTTTCCTCATAAATACAATGAGTGCTAATACATTTGTTTGAGAATTGTTTGTGAATATTGAACAAAATTACTACCACAGTATGTGGAGCATAATAGATATTTAATAGAAACCATTTCCATTTACTTCCATTTCTGTCAACCTGTCCCCAATCCTTAATGCCAAGAATAATTCTATTTACTATTCAAATTGACCCCTTTTCACTTTTCTAGAGAAGCGAAGAAAGCTAGCTACCTAGCCAGATTTCTTCAAATATTTTTAAGTAACTTCCCCAATTGTTACTCTTTGGCTTAAGAGTTTCTCCCTCTCTTTCTCTCTCCCTGTCTGTCCCGCCCTCCCTCTTTTTAATCATTTCAATAGGGTCAGTTTTCTTAATTTTGTAGCTTTTTAAAAATTTTTTTTTACTTCTTAGCCATTTCCAGTGTATAGAAGGAGTTGATTTCTGGTTGCTACTCTATTTTAAGATAGATTTATTTACTTATGGCTTTGTTTCCACAGTTCATGCAGTTTTTCCTTGGCTTCTTTCACGTGTTTTCTTCTTTCAATAGCATTTAATGAACTACGAATTCATTAGAAGGTTCTTTATATTTTAACTTACATGGAAAACTTGTTCTAACTCAAAGAAATATATAATATAATTGAAGTAAACTCATGACAAATTTGTTATGAGTATGTTTTATCTTTAATTGCTATAGTTATATAGACATTAAAATTTAACTTTATGATATAATCAAATACCATATTACATTACTTTTATGATGCATATTTTAACAACTCTGAAACTGAGATGTATATAATAATTGATGAACACTATAAATGTGCAGAATTTTTTTCTTTCTTACTGGTACTAAAATAATAGTGCATCTTACAACTGGCTTTTTAGATTTGATGAAAATGCTATAACAATTTTTTTATAGAACAAAGCATAATATTTTGTTTCTAGGGTAAATAAGATATGCTGAATATGACACTTATAATATTAGAAATAAGATAAGGTAGTTAAGGGACGGCCTCATCCACAAAAAAAAGAAAAAAAAAATTTCACGCTGCATCGAAATCAGTTACAAAGTGATTATAGATGTATATTCTCGTTATAAAATTTTTCACTAGTTCACTGTAAAAGAAAATTCGAATGCAGTTTTCTTTATAAATGGCTAAAGGATGGAGAATAACACTGTTGGGTCTCTAATAATGCTTGTAGAATATTCAAGGTAAATGGATTCAAGGTAAAATTAGTATGACCCTGTATAAAATCATATACCTTATGCTGGAAGGCACAAGCCATTTGCAAAGATGGCTAGAATTTTACTCAGCGCCTGGGTTTATCTCAAGACTCCCAGTAACCTTAAAGCCTAGACTAAGATTTATTTCCCTCCCATACATTTGTTCTTTAAATCCTTTCAGTTTCATGAAGCCAAGAGTCAGGCATTTCTATAAACTGAGCATGACCAAATGTTTGGAGGTGCACAGAAAGTTCAGTTCTGACACCGATCACTTATTTCCTATTTTGATGAAAAATGTAATTAACAGACTGAAATATGGCATTATAGTTCATCCAACTGACTTTATCTACTTTTCAAAATCTGATCATTTTTTTTGACATTAACACAATTGTTTATCTCTGGAAAGCTGACAGGCATCCTTTCCATGCAGGTAATTCATATGTTTATAACTGAGCCAGCCTCTCAGAGAGATTATTTAATTCTGCTTTATCTCCCACACTTCTCATGCTATTGTATATACCCTTAGTGCTTTACTTTTCTAACCCTTTAAACATTCAACTTTCAGTTAACGTGCACTAAATCCACCCTGGAGCTGTCTAGGCTTGAATGAGGATATCATACCAAATGGTCCTCTTGGACCAGTGAGTTGACCATTTCCGCCCATTTTGTTACCTGTCCCCTAATGTCTTTTCTTTTCCTAGAGCACTCATAAATATACCGACTTGAAGCTCTCACACAGATTTCATTGCACATTTATCCTTGTGCAGCACACCATTCGTGGCCCAGATCGTGGAACTACTTAGCCTTCCTTAATTTAAGTAGTTTTGTGGCATACGCATTGAGTGGCTCAGGTAAGATCTAGACTGCTAATCCCCAACACTGTCATTGCTGAGAAAGCACTGTAGGCAGGGAGAAGTGGTAATATTATTACTTATCTTGTGCCTTAATCAAATACATGAAAAAGGAAATCTGAAATGAAAGAAAACATTAATACTTAATATATACCAAGTAAAATTATATCATGCATCATTCATCTAATAAGACCACTTAATCATTGTTTGGAGACTCTGAAATTTCTAAATTTGTTTATTTATGGGTAATAGAGAACTATTCAGATAAACAAATAGACATACACATGTACATACATTAGAATATATATTCTATTACCTACAATAGGATACGTGGGAACTATCAATCAAGTTGCATAAAGTAGAAACAACACTTGAGGTAAGGGTGATCTAATATTATCTCTATTTTATTTTATTTTTTAAAAAAATTATTTAAATTCCATTTAGTTAACATGTACTGTATTATTAGTTTCAGGGATGGAATTTAGGGGTTCATCAGTTGCATTTAACACCCAGTGCTCATTACATCACATGCCCTCCTTAATGCCCATCACCCAATTATCCCTTTCCTCCATCCACCTCCCCTCCAGCAACCCTGTTTGTTCAGTGTCTCTTATGGTTTGCCTCCCTCTCTATTTTCAACTTATTTTAATTTTTCCTTCCCTTCCCCTATTTTAACTGTTCATGTGGGGAAATACTGCCGTGGAAACAAGGTGGTTTTTGAAGCCAGATGGATCTTTGATAAAATCTGAATTCCTCACTTAACAGCCATGTGACTTTTGGCAAGATACTCTGCCTCTCCAAGCTACAATTTCCTCACTGTTAAAATTAGGACTATATGCTGAATGTTACATAGTTTTGTTCTAATGCAACATATATGTTCATAAAAATCACTGTACTGGGCAAAATCACACAATAAAAACCAGAGGGTTTATGGAAAAATAGGATGGGAGTATGATACTCAAAAACTTAATCAGTTACACATGAAAAAAAAGGGAACCTAACAAAAATGATAGGAGGGATGGCTAAGAAATATATAAACACTATAATTAATATAGTATTTTATCTTAAAAATACCTAAAGTTTACTTGTGGAAGTGGATGTCAGGAGGCTTGTGAGTTGTTAGTTATTGTGAAGTGGTAGAAGGAGAGTTTCTAAAATCAAATGGACAGTTATAACATGAGAAGTAAATGGGTGTGAACTGAAGTAGCTGGTCTATGTTTGAGGTGCTTGTATGTGTCAGTATTCCTACCTGGCTCAGTTCAGGCAGGTGTAGTTACTGCATTCTCTTAGTGTTTCCTGCAGGCAAAATTGCAGATAAGCATCTTTCGTCCTTTGTCTTTTTTGACCTCACACACTTGAAACACTTGTCTCTCTTGGTGTGTTAGTCAGCCTCCAAGATGGTCCCCAATGATCTCCACCTCCTGGTATTCACATCCTTGTGTAGTCTCCTTCCACACTGTACCACGCGTTGGTCCGTATGAAATACAGCAGAGTGATGGTGTGTCACTTCTGAGATTAGGTTATAAGAGACTGCAGCTTCTGTCTTGGGCTCGCCCTTTCTTGGATCATTTACTCTGGGTGGGGGGGCGGTGAGGAGCCAGATCCTATATAAGGGGACACAACGGCATCCTATGGAGAAGTCCAGGAGGTGAAGAACTGAGGTCTCCTGCCAACAACCTTGAATGATCCACAGACTTCAGATGACTGCAGTCTCAGCTGGCAGATTGACTGCTACCTCATGAGAGACCTTAAACTAGAACCATCCAGATGACCCCTCCCAGATTCCTGACCCAAAGACACTGTGAAAAAATAAATGTTGTTTTAAGCTACTAGATGTTGGGGTCATTTGTTATGCAGCAATAAATAACCAGTACACTTGATTTCACTTATTTCCTATTTCACCAGCTGTTCCTTTTTTTTTTTTTTAAAGATTTGAGAGAGAGAGACAGAAAGAGAGAGAACACGAGTGGGAGATGCCCCAAGCTAAATGCAGAGCCTGATTCCATGACCCTGAGATCACACAACCTGAGCTGAAACCAAGAGTCGGTCACTCAACTGACTGCACCACCCAGGTGCCCCATCACTGGCTGTTTTTTGTCTCCTTTACTGGTTCCTCCTCCTCTTTTAACAAATCTCTAAATGTTGGGATTCTTTAGGGTTCAGTCTCTATATCTTTTGAACCTATCTCTATAGGTTCACTCTCTATATCTTTTATCCTGTGATTTTAAGTATCATCTTTATACTTTATCTCCAAGCCAGAACACGCCTTTGAATTGCAAACCCACATGTTCAACTTCATACCTTGCCTCTCTACTTTGATGTTTCACACACATCTCAAACCTAACATATTAAAAATGGAGTGCTTGGGTGGCTCGGTCGGTTAAGCATCTGACTTCTTGGTTTCACCCAGATCATCTCAGGGTTGTGAGATCCAGCCCTGCATCGGGCTCTGCGTGGAGTCTGCTTGAGATTCTCTCCCTTTCCTTCTCCCTCTGCCCCTCAACGCTGCTCTCATGCGCTCTCGCTCTCTAGAATAAATACATAAAATCTTTTTAAAAAAGTGGAATTCATGATTTCCTTCCCATTCCCCAACCTGTTCATTCCTCCCTTTCCTGTCATTCTCTCCAATCAAGGCCACAATCTAGATAGCAACACTATTTCCTCCCTTTCTTTAAACTAATCCATTCCATCAGGAAGACCTGTCAATCTCATTTCTAAAATATATTTACAATTTTTCCTTTTCTCACCATGATCATCATTACCTCACTTAAACTACTAAAACAACATCCTAACTGATCTCCCTGCCCAGTGTCAACCATTTCTCACATAGCAACTTAAAGATCTTTTTCAAATAGATCATGTCAGACCTCTGATTAAAACCTTTCAACAACTTTCCACCCCCCATACATGCAGAATAGTAGAGTTCTATTGAGCTATTAATGGTTAGGTTTTTTTCTTTTAATATAGTTCACCCATTCAACAAATACTTACTGAGCACCTACTAAATGCTTGGGACTTATCAGTGCACCACATAGGCCAAAGATTACTTTTTCCACATTCGGATGGTGGTGATGGTGGTTGGGCTAGGGGCAAGCTGTACAGTGAGAGAAAAATAAGAATTTATCCCATGAAAGTGAAGTTATTTTTTTCTAGTTGAGCTGGTAAATCGGATTGTCAGGAAAGAATGCCCGAAGCACAGTGTTAAATTCACAACTAGGGCCCAACACTGGATTTAACTGACACAAGACTGGTTGCTAATTATAACTTTGAAATCCTTTAAGGTAGTTTAAGTCCCTAAACATCAAAGTAATAACGGTTTTAGGGCCTAAGGAAGAAAGTGCAGCCCAGACAAATATTAATAGAAAATGCGCCATGGCTTTTATTTGAAATTCTGTCCAAATCAAACGTGGCTTGCCTATTTATAATCTGACTTATATTTCTGGCAGACCAAGTTATATTGGGCTGTTTCTCGGCCGGCACAAATGATCGTTACGCTTCGTGCTCTGCATTCTTTTTATGCCTATGCCAACATTCCGAGGTGCCTAAGTGGTAATGCTTTAGCATTTAGAGCGGGAGGAAAGAAGCAGCAGCCTCTGATGCAAACCAGGACAGCCTAACTTGCTCAGAGCTCTGCGGTGCTAACTCCGTTGGGGGTAGCGGGGTTGGTCTGACCCTGCTCTGGAAGGGGGCTTAGCTCGTGGCCCTTTTTCTACTATCGAAGTGCGTTTGGCACATTTTTATCAAAGCAAAGCGACACTTCCAAGTTTCAGTTAAGGCGTCCAAGAAGAAACTCGGCGCTTGCTGGCAAAAGGAGACTCAGTGAGCGAACAGCCCTCTAGCCTCCCTGTCTTTTCCTCGGCGTGAGATTGGCTTTTTGCTTTTGGTCTGAGTCGGCACCACAGAAAGAATAGACCAAACAAGCAAAAAGTGGGGCCGACAGAGAGGCCCAGAGTGTACCTTCAAAGCTAGGTAGAGACTCGCGCGAATTCTACCCTGTGCCCAGGAGACCTCACGGCCTAACAAAACACCCCGCCCACCGTCTACCGTCACCGCCGCGAAGCGGCAGCTCCAGGCCGGAGGGCGGAGCCGCCAGATCACCGCGCGAGACCAGCCACGAGACTTCCCAGAAAGCCTCAGGAAACATCTTAATAGCTAGGGAGCCGGTTTAGGGCGGAAGGGTGGGCGGGGCTAGTCCAGATATTTAGCGGCACTGGCGGCCACGCCCCAAATCGGAAGTGACGGAGACGAGCTAGCGCGTCGAAGATACCTCTATGGTTTTCCTCCCGTTCTTGAGTCGGGAAATGGCCGCTGTGTAGTTACAACGGAGATAAGTCCCGGGAACGGTGCTTTCGGCGTTTCAGGTAGGCCTCATGCTGCATTCAAATCACTCGGCAGTAAATACCGAGGACAAGTGAATATTGTTGAATCTTTTGTGGGTAGTGACGGGTTGGCGGCTGCAGGAGGACCCAGGAGACGTTTCGCCGTTATTTATGCGTTTCTCCATCAGATTCCCTCAGGTTTTTGGGGCACTATAGGTCGAAAAGGTGGGGGGTGGGGCGAGCAACGAGAACGGTGCGCGCGCGCGCGCGCGCGGTTACGAACCTGGCTCGAAACCCAGAGACCGCGCGGCCTTCCCGTGCGCGTGCGCATATCTTCCTCTTCAACCCTTCCCCCATTTCCTCGGCCTGGTCCCTTGCGCGCGCCCGACTGAAAGCTCGCCCGGCGCACGCGCGCTTCCTCCTTTCTCAGCCTACGGCTCCTGAGGCCGCTGGAGGTGCCGCTTGTGTTCGCTTCTCATTGGCTGGGAGCGCCACCTTTCTTCCAGGCTTTGGGGCTTTGATAAAACAACTGTGACCTGCAGCAAAGTGCTTTGGGTAGGTTGACCCGTTTTCGCGTCGTCTTTAAATTCCCTTTTCCCGGCTTCACGCTACTCGTCGGTTTACGCCCCGTTTTTTTGTTATTCCCTTAAGAACGTGGTCTGCTATCCCTCGTCACTGACGCGGGTATCCGCCTCCGGCCCTCGGTGTCGCGGGACAGTTTTCTCCGAGGTTAATCTCGGATCCCCCTGGCAACCCACTTTGTTTTGAAGCGAAGGTGTGCACTCGATTCTAAGAGTTGGTGCCTAGTTACCGTTTCCTAGTTTGGGGAGCAGGCCTTAGCTGATGAGTGGCCCTGTTGTTTCTCCCCCGCCCCCTCACCCCTTGCCCAAAAGGCAGTCTTCCGGTAGTACAAGCGAAACCACGTCTTTTTGGCAAGTGATTCAGGTCTTTATATCGAGTCAGAAATGTTGCAACCATGATAGGTAGACAGTTGGGGTAATTGGGTGGGAGTGGTGAGTTAAGGTTAAGGACTTTGCCCCCACTTTAAGTCCATAGGTTGGCTTTCTTCACATTTAAGATTCATCTTATCAGAATCAAGCAGCGGTGCTGGCAACTACTTTTCTATGTCTTTTTTTTTTTTAGAGTTTTAGGTTGAAAAAATTAAGACTAAAGTTGAAGGCAAATGTGACCAAAACTGATATAAATAGATTAGTTACTTCAGACACATCTTTTTGCAGCAGCGCCTTTTAATTTATCTTCGGTATTAAAAAGGAAACCAGAATTCCTTAATCCTCATGTAAATTCTGATTCCCATTGACTCTATTTGGAATGGTTGGGCTACTGTTTAGACAGTAGAGAATCTTTACATAGGAAAAACCGCTACAAGCTTATTTGCATTTTTATGTGATTCTAGCCAATTCAGGATAAGTAATTCTATGAGAAGGATTGTATGTCTAAAATAACTCTTGGTGAACAACTCAAAGTTTATGTACTGATGGCTCATAGCCATCTTGTTTTAAGGATACCATGTTTTCACTGTAACATTGGGGTAAACATTGGAATCCCCCTTCATTCAGATAGTTGGTAGCATAGGAGATTTTTCTTTTAAGAACATTAGTATTTTAGGACTCAAAGACCTCTAAAAACCCCTTGATAGACTCAGGTCTAGATGAATTTATTGAATTCAGCTACCTGAATTAACTGTGTGATGAGAAGACTTGTAGAAATAGAGAAAGTCTTTTCAGTTCTACATAGAACTTTGGATTGGGAGTTTCCAGAAACTACATTCAGAATCCTTAGTTGAACACTAGCTGAATTCTATGTAATTTACAGTGATTTATTAATCAACAAAGACATAGATAAGGGAATCAAGAAGCCCAATATATTTCTGGGTAGTAAGTATAAATGTTTACATTATAATTTTAGGTTATAAATTTGTTCCTTTTTCAAATCCAGATTCTTTGTGGTCATTAGTGTTATCTCAAAATCTTAAGCATTAATGTTTTATTTGACTACAGGACTGAAAAAAAATAATGTACAAAATTAAGGTGGTAGTAATCTAGTCTACATTTGTGTAATATTTTGTGGAGTCTTCAAACTTGATCCAGTATTTCTCCACTTAGGTAGAGAGCAAAAAGGTAGGAAACTTATTTAAAGCCTATTAACCAGGGAGTGGCACAGCCTGGTTTAGAATGCAGGCATTCTTCTCAGTCCCATGCTGGTTTTGTTTTGTTTTAAAGCAGGATGACAAGAAGCTGGACAAAGAACTAAAAACTTGTGACTAAACCTACCATTTTTGAAAAGCTTTTAATTATGGAAATTTTCAACCAAAAAAGTAGACAAAATAGCACCCATGCTCTCATCATCTAGGTTTAGTAATTGCCAGCGTGTACCAATTTTAATATTATTTACCTTTTTTTTGGAGTTTTTCATTCATTTTTAAGGATTTTATTTATATGAGAGTGAGAGAGAGAGAAAGAGCCTGAGCAGGGGCAGAGGCAGAGGGAGAGGGAGAAGCAGACTCCCTGCTGAGTGCAAAGCCTGACACAGGGCTCAATTCCCAGGACCCTGGGATCATGACCTGAGCAGAAGGCAGATGCTCCACTGACTGAGCCACACAGGCCCCTCTTTTTGGAGTGTTAATAAAGCAAAATTTCAGTCATTTTATTATGCATTTATAATGCTGATTAATGTTGTATCAAAAATACTAAGCATTCTTACAAGAATAACTTGAAGCAGAATTAGATAACCTGCAGGAAAAACTGTCACAAACCAGTTACCAATAATGATAGCTGATGTTTGAGTGTATACTGTGTGCAAAATGTTATGCTGTTTACATTCATTAGTTCAAGTAACCTTAAACCCGTAAGTACCATTATTGTTAACCCTATTTTATACTTGTGGAAATTGAAGCTGAAAGAGATTAAGGTAACTTGAGCATCTAGTTAATGGTCAGGTCAGGATTTTGAACCTAGTCTATTGTAATAATAGTCTTAGGATATTATTTTTAAGATTATTAAAGATGTGAATAGCAATAATTTGTTTGTAGAAATCTGGCAGCCACACTTCCTGAATCTGCTAAAACAAAAACTTGGCTCTTATTTAAAGAACCCATTTTGAGAGGCTTTAGCTTGAGTATTTTGTTGAACTCTGTTTGCTCTTTTCATCACTTGTGTTCTAGCTGATCTTAATGTAATATCGCATAAAAGATAGACTTTTTTAAGGTATTTAAGAACTTTATAAATAAATCCTGATTTATTCTCATAAGTTTCTCACTTGTTGGTGAATCACTTGGATAAAAATATATAAAGCAATTTATTCCCTCTCTCTTTTTACAGTCTGTTAGTAAGTAATCTTGGTTGTAATAAAGGGAAGATTGATTTGGCATTTTGAATTCTATATATAGGTTATGGCCACATTAAGCACCTGTCAGGGTATTGGAGAGAGTGCAGGAATTGGAATCAGGAGATCTGGGTCAAATTCTGGCTTAACCATTTACACTCTGTGACCATGGGCAACCTAAAAGGGTAAAGAAATCTGTTTACTCTCCCAAACTTAAACATCTCCCAGATGCTTGAGCCCAAAACCGGGAATTTAGGAACACCATTGAATTTCCCCTCTCCCCGTTCTCTCTGCTCCACACCAACAACCTATGAACGAATACTGTTGACTGCACTTCCAAACCAGATTCTGACTTTGCCTTTTTTTTCCAACTTCGTTGCTGCTACCTTTTCCAGGTCACCTTTGTATTGAATTTCAACCTTCTAATTTATCTCCTTGTTCTCCTCTCCATATTGTTCATGCTGTTCACAGCAGCCATTTTAAAATGTAAATCTGATGGTGTGACTTCCTGATTGCGGAGCCTTCCCATTGCAGTTAGAATAAAATCTACTCTTTACTCTGGCCTGCTTTCTAGATGCAATTTGATCTGGTCCATTCCTGCCTCTTTCACCTTATCTCACACCCTCTCCATGATCAGAGTGCCTCAACTTTCTTAGTGGTCTTTCTGTCCTGAATTTGCCAAGTTTGTGTCTTCTGCCTGGAATGCTCTTCTTTCTCTGTAACTTTGAAATGTACCTTGTCTTTAGCTTTAATGTTATCTTCTTAAAGAGGGCTCAAGGACCCACCTTTGTAGTCCTCCTCTCCACCTCTTAATACATCATCTTGTGGGTTTTTCTGCCCCTCTTTCCCTCCCTTTAAAATAAGCTCCAAGAGAGTAGGAAACTTCATGTCTCACTTGAATACGGTATTTTCAGTGCTAGAATAATAGTGCCTGGCATATAATAGACACTTCGTAAATTCAGATGAATTCTGACAACTTAGAATTCTATTTGAGAGATGGGTTAACATGTAGTTTATCAGATTATGAGGATTAAATGAGATGATTTTATTTAAAGTCACCTAGCACAGTTCTTAGCACATGGTTGGTATTCAGATGTTTTTGGCTATGATTTGTTGATTTTTATTCCTCTTTAGTTGGGTTTTGGAGAGCATGCACCCCTTCCATAGTCCTGTTTCCCATAAAACCTAGCATAGTGCTTTTTACATAGACTTTAATTTAAAAAATATTTGCTGAGCTGATTATAGCCTTTGTACTAACTATATTAAATATTGTTATTAAATGTTAAATATATTTTGCATTAAATATTACATATTATTAAATACTATTAAATATGTGTCATACTTCACATGATTTTGGAGTTCTTTTTATGAATACTTAACCATATTTATAGATTGTGAACAAGAATTTGTATCTACTAGTGTAACAGCCTACAGCCCTCCTCCCTTTGTTATTTCTAGTGTATAATTTTTTGGAATTTCAGAAGTCATGATTTGGAGTAAAGAGGGATTTGGCAGTTGGTTTTTCTTTGGATATGTGGAAATTAAAATTAACCTTTTAGAATTGTTTACGGGAAGTGTTAGCTAAAATGAGCCTTGCATCATTTCCAGCAGTGAATCAGTATTACTGGACTTCTGGGTCCAGAATAAAGTTTTCATAACGCATCAGTTTAGAAGATTGGTTTCTTTCTGCCCTCTTGGGGGGATTTGATATTTTTAAAACTAAACATGCCTGCACTTTAGAAATCCTTTTGTTTCTGTATCTATGGTCTTTTTTTTTTTAAATTTTTTTTTTTTATTTTAGTATGTTTCCCTTAATTATTAGTTCCTATTCTTCCTAGTTTGAGCCTCACATCTCTTAATCTCCCCAACTGTAGGGTCATGGGTATATAGGGACAATGTTCTTAATTCACCAGTTTAATCTTAACATTTCTTTTCCTTTGTGTTTTCAATTTTATTGCATTTTTTTTATTGGATCTTTGGTAAGAGTCACAGATTCTCATACTTATGTGTATTTTTTTTAAAATTTAAAATTGGTCTGTGAATTCCTTGAGGTTAGGCATGAATACAATTAATCTTCTCTTCTTTAGTTTCTGCTCCCCTAGGGGTTTTTGACTGTCCTTCGCACGTAATTGGTGATCAGTCACTGAATGTTACTTACAAGGCTAACCTCTTCAGTGTTGATAACTGCTTAATATTTTGCACAAAATTTAAATTTATTTTCATAGTAATGGTAAATTAGTTTAGGAAGATATCTAACCCATTAGATATTTGTTTCATTTATTGCCTGTTCTTTTATTGGGATGTCTGTACATGTATCAGAATGCACTTAGGCACTGAGCTTAGAGTTACTGTGATAGCTGTTAATAAGAATTTTAAAAACCAGTTTCAGATGAAACTAAACTGTAGAAAGGAAGTGGCCAAGAGAGAATAAAGAATAAGTAGCAAAGCATTAAAAGTAAAAACTCATACTTTAGCTAATTTATAATTACAGCATTATGAGTACTAACTACTGATAGATGACATGTTTTGATATTCCAAGAATACCATATTTGGCATTATATTAGCCACTTTGAAATTTTCTGATAGGATAGCAGCATAGCTTCTGTTTTCTAAAGCCCAGATTACTAAAATGAGAATTCAAGTATTTAAATTAAAAAGTAAAATGCTGTCGGGGCGCCTGGGTGGCTCAGTCGTTAAGCGTCTGCCTTCAGATCAGGTCATGATCCCAGGCTCCTGGGATTGAGCCCGGCATCGGGCTCCCTGCTCAGTGGGGGGCCTGCTTCTCCCTCTCCCACTCTCTCTGCTTGTGTTCCCTCTCTTGCTGTGTCTCTCTCTCTCAAATAAATAAAATCTTTAAAAAAAAGTAAAATGCTGTCAGTTTCATGGTACACTTCTACATTTTGATTAAAACAAAAAAAATTCCTTAAGCTTTTATGGTTAAAAGTTCATTTACTAGATGAGTTTCCCTTTCCCTGAAATCATAAGTGCTTTTATTAAGAGTTTATTTCAGTGCCAGTATAATTCATTGTTGTGAACAGTGGGTGTTTAATTTACAAGCAAACTTGTATTTTTTTTTCTTTGCTAGGAATTTGAATTTAGAGTTTAATTTCTCAGAACATTTTCTCCAGGAAGAACTTTACAGTATCTTAAAGACTTCACTTGACTGTTTAATCCTGCATAAAACCCAAGGTAAATAGCATTCGTTTTTCTAGTTTCAGTTTTGGTTTATTTGAGAAAATGCAACTACTTAATTTATGAATCTGAGTGATTATAAGTGACGTGGTCTGAAGCTTTTTTGGTTTGGTTTTGTTTTTTGGGTTTTTTGTTTTGTTTCATTTTGGTGGCTTATATGAAGTAAGCCAGATTTTAAAAGTTGTAGGAAAAAGATTCTCTTTCTCTCTCTTGCTTCTCTGTTGTGTGTCTCCTTCCACTTTTATAAACACGTCAACTTAGACTCAGGCCAATAACTCCTTTTCCCGTGTGCATATAAGAGGAATTCCGAGGAATTCCGTGTGCATTTAAGAGAATTCCGTAACAACTTTTTAACACCCTTGCATTGGTGTTAAGGTAATTAAAGTTGATTGTATTACATGTATCGACTCATTCATTCTTAACTACAACTCGGAGGAAGATAATTATCTTTATGTATTTCTTATTTATGAGAAGATAGAGCTAATATTTGTCTTTAGGATAGTTGTTTTATTTTGAAATATCTGAAACCTTGAATTTGTCATTTAATGGTTTTTGATGAAGTATGTGCAGACATTATGTTGCTGCTTCTGTAATGCAACTCAATCTTAGTACTTTTAAATACTGTTTTCATAATACTGAGCAATGCCTAGGTAGATAAAATAAATGCCTTAAAAAATATTCAGTTGTGGGAGGAATTGTTCATATGGCAATTGCAGACTATTAGAAGTTTAGTGAGTCCATTTTTATGGAAACAATTATTTTGGTAATAAGTTAGTGGAAATTTAGAAATAGTTATAGCAGAAATAAACTTGGGAGGCATATAAATATATGTGTATATATATAGTTTGTATAATTTTGGGAAGAGTAGATCTTCTAAATTATTTAGTCCTGTTATTTCTGTACCCAGTGAAGTTTGATTATTGCACTAGATATTAAGTAGTGTTTAGAAAAGTTTGAATATTGGTGCCCAACTTTTTCTTGTACTTCCAATATCTTTCTTCAAGCAGTCTTTCCAGTTTTTTATCCTTTTTCATCAACTTACCAGAAAGCTACAGGGTGAACTAGCGTTGTCACATAAGCCCATTTTTTTTTTTTTAAGATTTTTTTATTATTTATTCGAGACACAGAGATACAGAGAGAGAGAGAGAGAACATGAGCAGGGGGAGAAGCAGAGGGAGGGGGAGAAGCAGAGGGAGGGGGAGAAGCAGGCTCCCTGCTAAGCAGGGAGCCTGATGAGGGCTCCATCCCAGGACCCTGGGATCATGACCTGAGCCGAAGGCAGACGCTTAACGACTGAGCCACCCAGGCGCCCCGCATAAGCCCATTTTTATGTGTAATCATGCAGTATTATATATAAGGAGTGGTTAATTTAGTCCCATTTTATTTTTTTAAGATTTTATTTATTTATTTGACAGACACAGAGAGGGAACACAGGCAAGGGGGGAGTGGGAGAGGGAGAAGCAGGCTTCCCACGGAGCAGGGAGCCTGACGCGGGGCTCGATCCCAGGACTGAGATCATGACCTGAGCCGAAGGCAGATGCCTAACAACTGAGTCACCCAGGCGCCCCAGTGTAGTCCCATTTTAAGGCCATAAAGCATTTAGGATGACAGTCTGCTAGGTTTATTTATTTTTTTTAGTATTATGCCAATTGTGTTTTCTTTGTTTCAGGTTCCTTATCTGATATTACTCTGATATTTATCTTTTTTACAGGACAGGTAGGCATTTGTATTGGGCATGGAATAACATCTAACATGCTGCTGTACTCTTGTATTGCTCTTTCTGGCTTATGCAGCTGCTGCTTTTTTGAATTGAGGCACATAGGTGGTGCAGTCCATAGAAATCTTCTACCTACTGTATACAGTAACTGTCATGCAGGTGAAGATAAGTAGGGAGAATTGTCTTAGTATTCATATGAAAATGGTGATGAGTAATATCCGTTAAGAAACTATGTCTTGTAAAATTTAGTTGGTCTTTGAAAATAAATAAGAATGGGAAACTTCTTTAATTGAATTGTGATTTTTGACTTTTTTGCTCTCGTTGACTAGGAGAAAAGAAATGGGTCGCTCCAATTCTAGATCACATTCTTCAAGATCAAAGTCTAGATCACAGTCTAGTTCTCGATCAAGATCAAGATCGCATTCTAGAAAGAAGAGATACAGGTGAATTACTGTGTTTTAATTCTTTTAATAATGATAATCAGCTAATATTCATGGAGTGCTTACTACGTTTAGACACAATGCTAAACTCATTTATTCTCAACCCTGTAAAGTGAATCTCTTCTACTTTCATTTTAGAATTGGAGAGATTGAGAATTGTTCAAGTTGCAAGCTAGTAAATGGCAGTGCTTAGGTTTGATTTCAGTTAGCGTGACTTCAGATCTCAGATTCTTACACTGTGCATGTATGGTGAATTTCTTTAAATTTATAACATTAAAAGGTAAATTGGATAATGTGAGAATTATTTGACAGTAAGCCATCTTTTGTATTATTTTATAGTTTCTCATTGTTTCTGATTCTGATGTCTCAGTATTATGTATGAAATTAGCCAGTAGTATTTCATTGATGAATATTCTTCTATGCCATTAAATATTCTTTTACTCTAAGTGCCTGTATAGCTTTACTATAATTTGTTAGTATGTCCTGTTGGTGGATATTTTCCTGTTTTCTGTGCCTTCGTTCCTAAGGCGTTTATCCTCTCAATATTTATCTTAGAAGTGAGACTTTCTTCATTAAAAACAGTAAACTTTTGTATAAATGAGAGGTTTTGTTTTTCAAATGTACATTTTTGGTTTTGACTATTGACATGTTACGTTCAACCATAAGTGTTTAGAGTGGTAGAATGGAATAGTTTATTTTTCTTGCATTGATATTTATTTCATTTTTAGTTCTAGGTCTCGTTCCAGGACATACTCAAGATCTCGTAGTAGAGATCGTATTTATTCTAGAGATTATCGCCGAGATTACAGAAATAATAGAGGAATGAGACGACCTTATGGGTACAGAGGAAGGGGCAGAGGGTATTATCAAGGAGGAGGAGGTAGATATCATCGAGGTGGTTATAGACCTGTCTGGAATAGAAGACACTCTAGGAGTCCTAGACGAGGTCGTTCACGTTCCAGGAGTCCAAAAAGAAGATCCGTTTCTTCTCAAAGATCCCGAAGCAGATCTCGCCGGTCATACAGATCTTCTAGGTCTCCAAGATCATCCTCTTCTCGTTCTTCATCCCCATATAGCAAATCTCCTGTCTCTAAAAGACGAGGGTCTCAGGAAAAACAAACCAAAAAAGCTGAAGGGGAGCCCCAAGAAGAGAGTCCTTTGAAAAGTAAATCACAGGAGGAGCCGAAAGATACATTTGAACATGACCCATCTGAATCTATTGATGAGTTTAACAAATCATCAGCCACATCTGGTGATATTTGGCCTGGCCTCTCAGCTTATGATAATAGTCCTAGATCACCTCATAGTCCTTCACCGATTGCTACACCACCTAGTCAGAGTTCATCTTGCTCTGATGCCCCCATGCTCAGTACAGTCCACTCTGCAAAAAACACCCCCTCTCAGCATTCACATTCCATTCAGCATAGTCCTGAAAGGTCTGGGTCTGGTTCTGTTGGAAATGGATCTAGTCGGTACAGTCCTTCTCAGAATAGTCCAATTCATCATATCCCTTCACGAAGAAGCCCTGCAAAGACAATCACACCACAGAATGCTCCAAGAGATGAGGCTAGGGGACGTTCTTCATTTTATCCTGATGGTGGAGATCAGGAAACTGCAAAGACAGGAAAATTCTTAAAAAGGTAAGCATTAAAGTATTTAGATGATAATATTAATACATTTGTTCTTTGAATTCTATTTGGATTTATAAGACTTAAAATTGTACTGTGATGTGTAGTTAGCTGTTTTCACTCACAACTTTATAATTCAAGTTGTTTATACTACATCTGGTTAACTTTGGAAATTGTTTTAATAGAAGCTAATTTATATTTTTCTTTTTAATTCTATTTGTTTTCAGTCAGTCCAGAATTAAGAATGTAAACAAGAAATTGAGTAGCATAAAGCGTAACTGATGGTTAATATGTAAGATCTGAGATGAATTTTGTGTTAGAGCATTGAAAGCTTACTTTGTTTTCTTCATTATAATGTAACTTATATAAATAATGTAGTTATAGTACATGTTTTTACTTGTGTGGTATTAATACATGCAGCTGCCAATTCTTAGTAAAACTATCCGACCATAGAAAAGATAATGGTATTTCTTATTCTAGTAATGTTTGAAACATACTTTGTTTAAATTCTGATTTCAAGCATTGCTAAAGAGTTGCTAAAAAACTCAGTGAAAATTGGTTGCTAATGTAGTTTGATTGACTCTTGAGTGAGAAAATAGAACAGGCAGGCTATTTATGGGATAGTGCTGTACAAACTAGAATTAAATTTCTTGTTGAATTGATACAGTTTGTACTTAGTATTGCCAGGAATCATTTTCTGCAGCAAAGTATATATGAAATAGTTTTGTGATTCAATTAGAATATTAAATATTAACTAATTTAAGTTCACTTTTGTGAACTCATTTCTTTTGGTAGGTAAGTGTTACAGTCTGAAATTTTGAGTATAATTATAAGTAGAATTCTGATAAGTATACTGTTTATTAGTGGTTTTTAGCCTTAAAAATTAAACTGTTGCATGTTATAGAAGTTCTGGATAATCGGATTTGTTAGTGCAGAATTGTGGTCTATGACTAGAACAGGTTTTTGGGAAAGGCTTTACTTTTTAAACTTCAGGAGGTCTAATATGTAAATTTATTTAAAAACTCAGTACATAAGTGCTATATAGATGCTTTTAATGTTCTTTTAAAGTGGAATCTGAAGAAAGCACTTTTCAGTAAGGTTTTTTTTCTCTTTATTACTGGTCCTGTGATATTGGGCAGATCTCGCCGGTCATATAGATCTTCATACATATAAGTATGCAAGTGATCCGCAGTGAATGCAATCCAGAGTTACCATCCTCTTCTCTGCTTATTCACAGGTTCACAGATGAAGAGTCTAGAGTATTCCTGCTTGATAGGGGTAATACCAGGGATAAAGAGGCTCCAAAGGAGAAAGGATCAGAGAAAGGGAGGGCAGAGGGAGAATGGGAAGACCAGGAAGCGCTAGATTACTTTAGTGATAAAGAGTCTGGAAAACAAAAATTTAATGATTCAGAAGGGGATGACACAGAGGAGACAGAGGATTATAGACAGTTCAGGAAGTCAGTCCTTGCAGATCAGGGTAAAAATTTTGCTACTACATCTCACCGGAATACTGAGGAGGAAGGACCCAAGTACAAGTCCAAAGTTTCATTGAAAGGCAATAGAGAAAGTGATGGATTTAGAGAAGAAAAAAATTATAAACTTAAAGAGACTGGCTACGTAGTGGAAAGGCCTAGCACTGCAAAAGATAAGCACAAGGAAGACGACAAAAGTTCTGAGAGAATAACAGTAAAGAAAGAAACTCAGTCACCTGAGCAGGTAAAGTCTGAAAAGCTCAAAGACCTCTTTGATTACAGTCCCCCTCTACACAAGAATCTGGATGCACGAGAAAAGTCTACCTTCAGAGAGGAGAGCCCACTTAGGATCAAAATGATAGCCAGTGATTCTCATCGTCCTGAAGTCAAACTCAAAATGGCACCTGTTCCTCTTGATGATTCTAACAGGTAATTCCACATTGATGCCCAGGAAATAATCTGTGGTGATTTAGTTAATATTCTAATTAATTATCTTATTTTCTGAACATACTCCCATTTCATATTCAAACCAATGGTATATTTTGTTTGTTGTGTGTGTGTTTGTTACCGATATGCTCCAGACCTGCTTCCTTGACTAAAGACAGGCTACTTGCTAGTACACTTGTCCATTCTGTCAAGAAGGAACAAGAATTCCGATCCATCTTTGACCACATTAAGTTGCCACAGGCCAGCAAAAGCACTTCAGAATCTTTTATTCAACACATTGTGTCCTTGGTTCATCATGTTAAAGGTATGTTTACTATTGTGAATAAAATATTTCTTGTAAATTAAAATGAACAGTTAGGCTTTAATTAATGTACTCTAGGGCTATCAAGTTTACATAGACACCATTAGAAATTTGGAAGAATAGTTTTGTGAAAGAGTGATCAGTCTTGCTAGGATTAAGACCCATGTGGAGATATTTGATAAAAAGTGATTGAAATACCAAACAGAAGTTGAAACACATTCTGAAAAGCTATATCATGATAAAACTGATGAAGATTTATTTAACAGGAAGTCTTCTTGAAATGTGTCATTGTACTTGAAGGGCAGAATGCTTACAGATGATTTTTCTTTGCATGCATAGGATTTATAATGCACTCTTGCATAGATTTATAACAAAGTGAGGTCATATTGTTACTGAATATTATTAAGAATTTCTTTTCAATTTTTAAAGAAACGAAACCAGCAGAAAAGCAGTATTGATTTTCTATCTATATTTTTGTTACTTAATTGGTTTTAATACTTAGCTTTTTTAAATGATAAGCTGGAAAAGAATTATTGGAATTTTTTAAGGAAAAAAAGTTTAAGAAATTTAGAAATGTGTTAGACGAGTAGTGAATTGATGAATAGTTACTAATTAGGATGATAGTTATATTTCTTTAAGTCCTGAAGATTATAAGGGTGTTCACTTCAGTTAAAGTAATGATGCTCAATTTTCACCAGTATGTAATTCAAAGTTACTAATAATTTTCAAAGGTTTTAGGGTGTGACTTTTTGGGCAATTAGGTTGTTTTGTTTTTGTTATTTTCTTTCTGTGTTTAAAAGGCAACTTACTGTGAAATAGGTTCTTACCCAGGAAGCTACATGGTTGTTGGTCTTAAAAGCCATTTTTTTAAACAAGTTTTGTCTTTTTATATGAGAATAATTCGTTGTAATAGCTGAAACTTGTTCCTAGCAAATTCTTTATGCAGTTGATGTGTCAAGATAGTGAATAGTGAATGAATTTCTTTTTGACTGTAATTATTTAAACATGGTAACAAGGGTTTTGTTATTTGGCTATAACTAGGTTTGTGAGCCAGTTTATGACCATATTGTGGTACATAAAATATGAAACATTAACATTTTTTCTTTTTTTACCTTTTTTTGACCTGTCTCCACATTTTACAATTTATTGCTGAATTTTGAGATCAGGTTTTGATAAAATTTTTTCTTTTTCTTTTTCATTTTCTTTTTTTTGTTTTTTGTTTTTTGTTTTTTTTTTTAAAGAACTGTAGTTATGTTTCATTATTGGTATTGTACAACCGATCTGAACAGCTCTTTCTTACTTTAGAGCTGAAAATGCCCAGTGATGTTTTCTTTTTCATTGTAACTAGGTCCTGGAATATGTTTTGAAATGGCAAAATCCATGTTTCAAAGTAAAATAGCTGTTGAAAGATACAGGCAAAGTTGAATCTTCTGTCTTCCTGGCAAAAATGGCATAAAAACTGAGTTGCTAGCTCAAATTCCTGGGTTTCATGGAATTATGATTGAGGCACTACCCTTGTAGTGGCCGTTTCAAGTTTTAATGATTGGTTATGAGACATGTGCTGGATATTGGGCGGTAAGTTGACACAGATGTATGTTGACCTGTTAAGCAGATAGCTTGCTTCATAATGTAACATTTCATGACTTTATACGTCTTTCTATTTTACATTTACAGCGTATCTTGAATGGTTTAAAAAGTAGTATTGATATTACTAATTTTAAATTTGAAAGAAGGACAAGAGAACAATAGCAAATATGTCGGGTTTGCCAAGATGCCAGATTTTTGGAGTAATTAGTGTTAATTGATTTGAAGAATATTTTTTGAATTGAAATGGTACTATTCATTTTTTTCTTAAATCCATTTTTTGTTGTCAACGTAGTACTTGATGAAATAATTTTACTAGTGTACTAAAACCAACTGTGTAGTTATTTCAGTATTTTTTGTTTTCTGCAAATGATTACTTGAAGTAACCTCATTGGTTCATATTGGCAAGGTATAAGGACGTCCACTTACTGTTCCTTTTTGTTCTGTTTGAGGAAGTAGTTCATTATTGAAATTAAGTTCGAGATTCTCAGTTTTAATCTGTTTATTGTTCTTGGATTGTATGTAGTATTGATAGTGCTCTCTGAGGAACTTTGTATCCGTTACCTGTTGAGGTACAAAAAGTTAAAAGGGACAGAGTAGGAGTTCTTTGTAACACTTGATTCTCTTCTGCTAGGTTTCTTGAGTATTTTTATTTTCTTTTCACCTGCCAAATGCCCTTCTGTCACAAGTGAAAATCTTTCTTGAAGTAAAGATAACTAATCGGGCAGTATTTCTCCTAAATCAACAGAGCAATACTTCAAATCAGCTGCAGTGACCCTAAACGAGAGGTTCACTTCGTATCAGAAAGCCACCGAAGAACATAGTACCAGGCAAAAGAGCCCTGAGATACACAGGTATGTGCACTGTTGTATGGGTGTATAAAAAATGTTTTGATAGACACCGTTTAAACAATATCATAATGGAACTGTGCTATCATCATGATGATAAAATGAACTTTGGTTTTATTTCTGATTTGTACCTTGAATAAGTGTATTTCCAGCCTTGAAAAGTTTGTAATTTACTGTTTCTTTTTAATTTTCAGTTCACTTGGTTTAAACAGGTTCTTACAACTTACAGTACTCTTAATCACTCCCCAGTAAGGAATTCAGTAGATACCACATTTGTTTTTTTGGGAGGAAGTTGGATGCCTAGAGTAGCCCTTTATTTAATTTACTTCCAATAAGTTTGTAATATAAAATGCTTGGTAACAGGTAGAACTGTTTTTCATAAGAAGAGCATGAATGTTAAAAGTCAGGCAGTTATGTTCGTATACTGGTTCTGTAACTTCATTGCATTGTGATGAACAAGTTAATTTCTGAACATTAGTTTTTTCCATCTACCAAATAAGGACAACAGTGCCTCTTTTGCAGGGTGGTGGTGACAGTTAGTATTGGTTATAAAGTATCTAGTGCTTAGTCATAGTAGGTAGGGTTTTGGTGGTGACTGCTGAAGAAGCTCTGAGAAGTTGGCAACGGATACTAGCTTAAAAAAGGCAAGGAAAGGCACAGCATAAAACTGAAGATCCACTGATTATATAAAAATATTGGAGATATTTAGGAACAAATAACCCAGTTCATGTGTTCATTGAAGATATGGAGGTATAATTGTATGAAGGTTGACACTTAGGATGATAATATTCAATTTAATCAAAACATGGGTTTTTTTAATGATTAATTTGTTTTAAAACTTCAGACTTTATATGTAAAAATACTGAAGCATTTTTAATTTATTTTTAATGGATATAGTCTTTATTTCTTAATTATTCGGAATTAGATTAATAATGTTACAATGCTAAGGTTTATTTGGGAGAGAAATAACTGTCTAGTTATTTCCTTTATTAAAATGAACAGTTCTGAGGAATTTTTTGAACCATAAAGTTAATGTGACTACAAATAGACTTTATTTTACATTAAGGAGAATTGACATCTCTCCAAGTGCCCTGAGGAAGCATACTCGTTTAGCAGGGGAAGAGAGAGTTTTTAAAGAAGAAAATCAAAAGGTATGTTTTGAATGGACATTTTTTTAATGTTAAGTTCAACTCAGTTAATGATATTGTATAATTAAGTATAGTTTGCATAGACAAAATGTTTGCAGAGGTCATCTATTTTTAACTTGTAAATAAATGCATTTACAGTTGTGTATATACTGTTCCTTCCTAAAAGAAATTAAGCTGACACTATACTATGTATTCAAGTAAAACCAAAAGTAATTTTTAAAAATGATAAAAGGAAGAAATTCATTCCAAGCAAAGGGTAAAGAATCAAGTGTTAGATAAAGGAAAATGAGAAAAACAACGATAAGAAATTATAGTAGGGTTTTTCTATAAAGTTTTGGGGTTAAATAGATGAGCCAGAATAAATATTCCTTGATTTATGTATGCCTAAATTAGTATTTCTAGGTTTTTCACAGCAAGAACAAGAAGTAATCCCCATGCTACTGGGCATTTTTGATCTGGACTAAGAAATAAACATTCTAAGAACAGATTTACAAATGAACATTTGGAATAAAAACTCACTATTGGAATTTTTGTGGGTTGGGGAAGAATGCTTTTAAACTTGAGAGAAGAACCTGTGAATGTTGGGGGAGGGAGGTCTGTGAGAATTGAATGCGTTTGTTAAGGGGACTCTTGATACATTCTGATGATTTGAAATGGGTGTTTTCTAGGTAGATTAGTCCATATGGCAGGCCTTATGAGTGTAGTAGAAATGTAGGGACAAATAGCAACTGTCCATTGTAATGAAAAGGTTAGGGGACTTGGAAATGCTTCTTGGTTCCAATTTTGGCTGTAGCCAAGTATTTCTGTGATACGTGGAAGATAATTAGCCTCTTGGACATTTGGTTTTCTAATCAGAAAAATGAGACTACATGTGTTTTGCAGAGCTAAATAGTTGAGGTATTAGGAAAACATCAGCACTTTCATTTCCAGAAGCTGTTATTAATAGTTGTATTATACAAATAATAGGGCATCCTCTTAACTTACTAGATGTGAAATTTAAAGCTTAAAAGAAGGTGGTCTCTTTGTATGGGGCATACTGATCTTGGAAAAACTGATTCTGAGAGCTGAATACTAACCTTGGCTTTACTTTCAATGTCTTGGGTTCAGTGTTGGTTAATTTTGTTTTGCCAACAGTTTAGTCTATCCTTGTGCTCTGACAGAGTGAGTATCTTGTTTCTTTCCTCATTACTCACCAGATTTTCATCTGGAGGAGAGAAAATAGTGATTACTTATGGATGGACAAGAGGATATGACATTGCTTTTTATCCTTCTTACGATCTGAATGAATAATTAATAAATATATGTTATTATTTAATGTGTATATAGTTTTGGAGTTTATAAAGTAGTTTTACTTAAATTATCTTGTTACTTGTGGGCTTGATAATACCTAAGTGAAAAAGGAAGGTTTTTGCTCTTGATTAGATTTTCTTTGTTACCCAGGGAGCAAATAGGTGAGTAGTTGATATCATTTGGAGATATACTTCCAGTTTTATGAATGCTTATGAATATCATAGCTAGATTTCCCAGAATAAGTACTTCTTATTGTTGAATACTAGCAAGGATGTCCACATTGCTTAGCATCTTACTGATGTATAATTTTTCTTCATTCCTAGATGCCTCTTTCCATCTTCCTAAATTATATAGTATTTGAAAAAGCAATGGAACAAGAAGGAGGTGAATTGTGACCCAGTTAAACTAATGTCCGTTGCAATACCTGAATTGAGAAAGGGCAGTATATGGCCCAAGATACTGAGTACAGGATTGGGAATAATCTCTTTCTGGCTTTGTTTCTACCCTTATTCAACCTTACTTGGTTTTATTAATCGTACTCCACTTGCATGTTATGGAAATTACAGTTCTTCCTTTTGAAGTGGTTTTTATTGGGTTGGTCAACTTATTGGGAAGAGCTTGATAATAATGAGGCTTAAATAATGAGAACCGTTACTTTAGGATCCCATAACTTTATAGGTAGAAGGCTATACCACAATTACAGACAGAGTATAATCTCTATCATTTAAAAAGAAACCCTGTGAAAAGGATGAGTGATGACAATGAGGATGTGCTGAGTGGAAAAATAATTATGTCATTCTACTGTACAGAGTTTATTATGGATTGCTTTGAACAAAAACCGATGACATTTTCAAGATAATTAGCTTTTCATAACTTCCCTAGTCCTGTTGCACTGTGTATACAAATGTTTAGTCAAAACAACCAGGCATATTTTTTAACAAAAACTAAAACTAAGTGTGGAAGTAGTATGTTATGGTCTACTCTTCTCTGATACTAAAATGCCAATTTAGAAACTGGCATAAAATTTGGCTATATATATTTTTTTCTTCTATCTCTCCTGAAATCTGTATTTTACATTTGTCTTTTATAGGGAGATAAAAAATTAAGGTGTGATTCTGCTGATCTTCGGCATGACATTGATCGTCGGAGAAAAGAAAGAAGTAAAGAACGGGGGGATTCCAAGGGCTCCAGGGAATCCAGTGGATCAAGAAAGCAGGAAAAAACTCCAAAAGATTACAAGGAATACAAATCTTACAAAGATGACAGGTAATTGTTAAAACTGTGTGAGTTAGGTTTTAGCTTCTAATTAGCCTTTAATAATTGTCAGCTTAATTGCTTTCAATTTTGACTGTGTAATCGAATGTTTAAATTTAAACAATTAAAATTATTTGTTTTACAGCAAAAATGTATTTGTCTTTTACACGGCTTATGGTGGATGAGGACAAAAACTTTGGAATAGCAAGCTAACACTGAAAAAAAAAATGACAAATTAATGTGTCCTATTATCCAGGCTACATCAGGAGGTTGGACTTCAATGCAGTGCATTTCTAGAAACAGTTTGTGTAAGAACTTTGGTTCGTTATGCTTGATTCCGCACTTTTTCAACTCATAACACCCAGAGTACAAGAATTTTAAACTGATATCTAGTGGTTTAACATGGGAGAGATGGGGGGGAGGAAGGACTAGTTTTTATGAAATAGCAATGTGTATTTATCTTTCAAAGTAATGTTTCCATGGATACTGTTAGCAGTGGTAAGAGTTATCGCAGGTATGACCTTTTCGGGTGTTGCATTAGAACCATATAAAATTGATCATCATAGAGTCAAATAAATAGTAGGAATACTCAATATCATAGATAATCGTTTTCTTGCTGTTCATTAGGTAAATGGTGGATTTTACTCGTGTTTTTTTAATTTATGACTGGTATTTGTATGTCATATGCTTTTGATTTCTATAATGGAGTTATGGCCCAAACCATGCCATCTGTTCTCACCCAGGGTGTACAGACTGCAGTCATTTTGAAACTTGGCCTTAAGAACATTCTTACTTTTTCCTACTCTTCTTTTCCTTGCCTTAAAATAACAACAACAAAAAAGTTAAAAATATTGAAGAACTGAACCTTATTCTTGAAGTTTCCAGACTGCTAGTTTTTAACTGGCAGGCCATATCATGTTTTTCAGTAGTTATGTAAAAAAACAAACAAACAAACAAAAAAAAACTGAAGGAGAATGGAAACAGACTGTGTCAAAGTTTAACACCCAATCATTTTAGTTATGTAATAATTTTAATAGGGGTTAGTTTGTGTTTTTTTTTTGACTTAAAAAATATCCCTTTTATTATAAGATTCAACAGGGTCTTTATCTTTTTTAAAGTAGCACATATTTTTTTGTTTTCTTTCTTTATTTTGCAGTAAACATAAAAGTAGAGAGCAAGATCATTCTCGATCTTCATCCTCTTCAGCATCGCCTTCTTCTCCCAGTTCTCGAGAAGAAAAGGAGAGTAAGAAGGAAAGAGAAGAAGAATTTAAAACTCACCATGAACTGAAAGAATACTCAGGCTTTGGAGGAGTTAGCCGACCACGAGGAACCTTTGTAAGTAGTAGAAGTACCTTTGATTGATGGTAGGACTTTACTTTAGAGCACTGTGCATAAGGAAAGTTAAAAATACATGATTTAGACATTGTTGTGAGTCATTACTCCTACATTCAGAATTAGTCTTGGAAAGTGAAATGGTTTTTGATAATAACTTCATTAAGATATGCCATTTAAGGGTTGGGAGGAGGGGCTGGAGCTGGGATGATGCTTTCTTTGTATACAGAGTAAATAATAAGTGTTTATCTAATTTAAAAAAAATTTATATATATATATAAATTAGATACTTTTTTAAACTTTGGAATCAATATCTACATAGTGCATAAAGACCCAAGAGTTAAGTAAAGTTATTGAGATCTAGTTCTTTAATCACTTAGTTTTTGAGAAGATACCTTAAAACATTAAAAAAAAAAACCTAATCTCTGTATTACAACTATTTTTATTTTGCCTATTTTGCCTTCCAGTCCTTGCTTATATGCGTATAATCAGAGAAATCGTATAATTTTCTTTTTATTCTACATAGCCTACACATTATCCCCATATTTGCATAAATATGTTGTAATTATTAATGACTTCATAGTAGTGCATTTTCTTGACTCTTCAATTTCTATATTCAGATTCCTACTGTAAGCGAGTATCCAGTCAATTATTAGTAGGGTTCATTAATTAGATCATTTAGGAAAGAGAAGAGCTTTGCTTATATGGTGATAGGTGTAGTTGAACACTTGGGACTCCTATGATAATTCAAAGAATTAGATAACTCTTTTGGCTAGTAAAAGGGAAAAGAACCAACTCTATTATTTAAAAGTACTAGTTCAGGCCATGAAAGTGCAGTCAGTATGCTAATACTTAGATTGACTGCATTTTTTCTTAACCTTTTTAACTTGCAGTGGGCAGAATTTTTTGCCTATAATATAAAATAGTCACCCTTTCTATCCTCAGTGGCTATGAAATTGAGATTTAGGAAGGAAATTAGGAAATATGTTTTTTGTTACTGCAGTAAAATTAGAGTTTGCATGTAACTAAATACCTTTTGATTGCATTACTAAACAACTTTGTTAATGTTAATCAGTTTCGAATTAGAGGCAGAGGAAGAGCCAGAGGAGTTTTTGCTGGGACAAATACTGGTCCAAACAACTCAAATACTACTTTTCAAAAGAGACCGAAGGAAGAGGAATGGGATCCAGAATATACCCCAAAGAGCAAGAAGTACTTCTTGGTGGGTGTTAGAAATCTGTGTTTATTTGGTTTGCATTAATTTTCAAAGCATACTGGGTGAATACATTTGAGTACAGGTATCCACTACTATGGGAAGTTTTCACCATAATGCAGAAAATCTTTTAAAAATTCATTACCCAGATGATTGGAAGTTTTGAAAATGTGGGTCCCTTTGGTCCTGTTTATACTTCATTGATAGCACCTATAGGCTGATCAGGGTAAATTTAAAATGTACCTGATTTGATAGCCACATTCAGAGAAGAACATTAACATATGTTTCATATCTGTCTATAAGACAATGACAGTTACAGAAACTTCTCATTAAGATTTACCTTCCATCATCACAGCTGTCTGTTTAAATGAAAGACAAAGAGAAGAATTCTTTCACAGTACACATAATTAAGGATCTCAGGGAGGTTGTTTACTTCCATTGGAATAAAAGGAAGATGAAAATTTACATGTGGAAAAGTTGCTAGCTACACTAATGTGGTGCTTCTTTGTGATACAGTTCCTTCTGAAGTAGTTTTCTAAGGGATGGAACCTAGAGGAGGTGGGTCCTGAAAGAGTTTCTAGGTAATGATGGAAATTTTCTGCAGTTTGACATGGGAGAAAAGAGTCCAACATTATAGACACTTTAGAAAATACCAAAACTATTACCAGAAACATTTATTTTTATCATAGCTTTTCAAAGAAGTCATGTTTCAGAGACTAGTTCTGAAGATTAGTTGTTTTGCAGAAGCAAGGAGGAAAGTAATACTAGATTTATAGAATCGTGTTTTTTATTTGGCTTTTTATGAATACACCTGAATACCCACAACTTACCTGCTGAGAGGAGAGAGCTATATGCTGAAGTAGATCTGTATTGTTTGAAGAATGGCAATCAAAAATTTATTATTATTATTTTTTAAGATTTATTTATTTGACAGAGACACAGCGAGAGAGGGAACACAAGCAGGGGGGAGTGGGAGAGGAAGAAGCAGGCTTCCCGCTGAGCAGGGAGCCCGATGCGGGGCTCGATCCCAGGACCCTGGGATCATGACCTGAGCCGAAGGCAGACACTTAACGATTGAGCCACCCAGGCACCCCCCAAAAATTAGTTCTATTTGACTCTCTTGGGTACTTTAAGACCAAGGTCTGAAAAAATTTTTAAAGTGTATTATGCATAAAGTTTACTCAATAAATGCTCTAAGGGGAAATTTAAGCTTGTTTAAATTGAATGAGTTGACCATGTGCACAGGGAAAGGCATTTTATTCAGTTACAGGAAAGCTTAAAAGATCTTTTTGATTTAAGAATTTATATATTCACAGACTGCTGTTTATGCTAGGAACTGTGAATGCAAAAACAAATACTGTATGATTTCAGTTCTTGGCTGGAATAAATATGGAAACAAATGTTCTAAATACATGTGATGGATTTCCTCCAAAGCAGGAAATGGAGGATTATTTCAAAGGAGAGAGTGATTAGGAGAGCCTTCAGAGAGGAACTGGGCTTGAATCTGAAGCTTAAAAGATAGGCAGGTGTACTGTAGATTGAAGGAGTGAAACATCTTGAGATAGAACTCTATGACTAGATGGTTGATGTAAGTTTGGTAAGATTAAGAAAAAGCAGGAGCCAAGTTGTGGAAGGCCATAATATCCTAATAAATTTGGATTTTAACCAGAGTTTAGAAAAACAATGTTTGTACAGACAGATCTGAGAGTTACTGAGTGTCGGAACTAAGGGGTTAGATATTAGAAAAGTTAAGAGTAACATTTATGAGGTCTTACTCAGGGACCCTGTATGTGGTTGGGTGTTGGTAGTGAGATGAGGGGATCTCTCTCTAAGATTGGGGATACAGGGGAAAGAATCCAATTTGAGGAGAAAAGTTCTGTTCTTGAAGTGCCTGGGAGAAACGAAGTGCAGATGTGCAATGGGTTGTTGATAAGGCAGATCTATAGAGAGAAAAAAAATCTAGGAGCCATCATTTTACAGGACACAAAGCCAGATCACCCAGTCGGGAGAGATTAAAAGGCCACCCTGTCAAAGTTAGGGTGAGGAGTGAGTGATAGTAAAATTGCCGTATTGTTCATTTAAAAAAAAAAAAAAATGCCAGAGAAGGAGACCAAATGTTAAAGGTTAGAAAGTTAAGAGGGAAGTGAGAGGTGAACAAGTAGATGGTAATTATTTAATATTTTGAATGTTTTACAAATAATTTAGGCCAGACCTTCATTTTTCTCTGGCATTCTTTCAGAATCTGGTGGTGTAATTTTTATCTTAAATTGAGACATAACATTGTAGTTTGGCATTTAGGCGGTAATTTTACTGATTAGAGGAAGAATGTGTGTTACTTTAAGAATTTAGCAACTTATAAGTAGCAGTAACATTTTATATGTTCCTATTCGGGCCTATATTTTAAAACCTTCATTTCTATGTAAAACATGCATTTGTCGGAGACTGATGTTCACTAGAAGTAAAATTAAAATGTTAATATATTTTTCTTACAAATCTATTGCCACAGTTAATTATTTTGGTTCTTAATTAATGAACCATTGAAATGACAGCTCTGGTTTTTACACGGATATTTAAATTTGATTTTGCTTTTGCAAAGATACTTTATAGACTGCTACCGCTGAGAATAGAAATATATTTAGAAGAGATGAGGTTGAAAAGTTAACAGGTATGTTCCCTTAGGTTCTTTCAGAATAATTGACAAACATGGAACTTTTGATATTAATGAAACGTTAATATTTAGTAGTAATAATAACAGTGTAACATGTATTGAGCATATGTACTGTGCTACGTAGGAGCCTTCCTAAGGCGCCTAATAAGAAATAAACTTATTTCATGCTTATAAAAAATCATTTTGAGATGAGTCCTTTATCCCACTTCTATAATGGGGTACAGAGGTTGAGCACTTGACCAAAGTTACATGCCTAGTAGAACAGGACTCTGAATTTGAACCCATGCCTTGGGCCCAAGAGCCAGGGTTCTGAAAGCACCCTACCATTCTTTCTCCAGTATTGAGTAATATTAACATTTGTTGCATTCTGTTCTGAAACTTCTCATCTCTAATCTTGGATTTATGCAAAGGTATGGTAGTGTTTCCAATAATAAGTACTCCAGAGTCTATCTTAGAATCTGAAATTCTATGGAGGGGTGAGTATGTGAAGAGTTGGAGCAAGTGGGAAAGTACTGAAGTGGACAGGTTCTCAGTGTTGATGTTGTCTTCTGAGGAAGAGAAAAATCCCTGGTGGGGAAAGGGCCTTAAGGTAGGAGGTTTGATCAGTTAAATTTTTGAAACTTGTTCATTTTGTGGAGAAGAGATAAGAGGATTCAGAAGGTCTTTTTTTTTTTTGAGATTATTGATTTGAGAAAGAGAGGGCACTCGGGTTCTGGGAGGGGCAGAGGGAGCAGGAGAGAGAATCTTGATCAGATTTCCCTGCTGAGCGCAGAGCCAGATGCAGGGCTCCCTCTGCAGGGAGTCAGATGCCTAACGGACTGAGCCACCCAGGCGCCTCCAGAAGGTCTTGTTCTGATATGGCCACCTGTGTTTATGTGTTTTGTGCATTACAAAAATCTCACTTCTCTGACCATTTATCATGTGAAGTAATTTTTAAAAATTGTAGTAGGACTAAAATCTTGGAAGTTAGAACTTGAGGATTAAGGGTTAGTATGCGTAGCATGAGAATGTTACTTAGCTGCCAGATACCCTCTGACAAATACAGTGTAGTCTAGCTGCTGTTTAATTTATACAGTTTCAGATCATTGGTTATTTAAAGGTAAAGGCTGGTTTAACTCTAGTGTCTGGCTTTGCCTCTGCTTTTTCTATTTCTGTAACTATTAGCTGCCTTATGGTAATCATTTACTGCCACCAAGATACTGGAAAATGTATTCTGTGGGTGATGGGCCTAAAGAGTAGTGGAAAGGACTAGTTTTGTGGCCTTGGGCAAGTAACTCAGTTTCTCTGTGCCTCAGTTTCTTATCTAAAGCAGGATTAGTAACAGTATAGGGTTCTTTGAGGATGAGATGAGTAAATACGTGGAAAGTGCTCAGAATAGTGTCTTACCCTTATTAATATTATTACCACTGTTTGAGTGCTTGCTTGTCATAACTGGGCTGGGTGCTTTTTACACCTCATCTGTGTTCCTTCACAGCTATCTCCCATTTTTAAAATGAGCAAGTAAAGTCACACAGCCTCTGTTGAGATTTAAACCCATGCCTCTGACTCCAAAACCGTTTGCTATTTCCCACAAATGCATAGAATACTGTGTAAACGCCAGGAACAAACACAAACTCTAGAGTTGTTTGTGCTAATATCAAAAGGGAGCCTGAAATTATGTAGTTGTGTGGGTATGATTTTGAGTGGCAGAGTATTTTAAAATATTTTATTTCAGGTTTCTATTAAGCTTTCTGATATTCTGAAATCTACACTTTTGACAGTTCCTAAATTCATTCTTTATGGAGTCCTGCACACCACTATTTAGTCACTTCTCATCGGTTTGGTAAAGATAGATTATTGGAAATTGGTAGCTGCTCTTTTGCATGGTGTGTTACTTGTGTAACTGAGCTTTGCAATTCATGCCGGGAGGGTGCTCTGTATTACCTGAAAACGCACAAAGGCACATTGTGTTTTGCAAAGGTGCTAATATCACGTAATACTTAAGAAAAAGATTTAGTGACTTCTGGACAGCTGGTCAAGTATTCTATAGGTTATACAACATTGTTTGCATTATACCTGTTGTCTCAGTAAGGGGCATTATTTTGCTTTATTTTCCATTTTTTATAGGTGACAAACTTGAGAGTTTGGTGGGCAGCAATTAATTAAATTACATTACAGGAGAACTTTGGCTTTTTGTTTTGTATTTTGGGATGTAATACTCATCTACTCATTCACAAAGTAAAGTGCTTTTCAAGTTTGCAGGTTGTTTTAATTGAACAATTTGTAATTTGAGGAATATCTGTATTTGGATATAGTTAATGAAAAATTAAGGTTAAAATAATAACTAATTAAAAGTAATAAAAAGCTATAGTACTTCGTATTGGTGAAGAAGAAATAAGTTGAGGTATTACTCTAGGGACCACGTGGTCATAATTTGGCATGTGAAATTCTCTAGCGTAGATGATTGATGTGTAAGATACATTGAATTTTAAATCTCAGTAGGATTTTAAAATCTGTTCCTATATGTAAGGTATAATTTATAGCACTTATTTTATTTAACAAATTTTATAGTGTTGTAATAATATTTTTATGGCTTTTTAATATCTTTATGACTGGCAATTTTTTGGGAAAATTATTGGTTACTTTATCTCATTTACATGCAGCATATTAGCCAGTGGACTTAGATTGAAATAATGGAGAGCAAAAAAGTCAAAATTTTGGAAGTTGGCAGTAATTTAGCAGTTGAAATTCTCCAAAAAATTGGACAGCTCTCAATGCTTGGGTTATAAGCAGTAAGATATAATTATTTGCTTTCACAATGGAAAATATTTTTGCCGAAAACTTCAGTGTTACTGGCTTTGTTTTAATGTGTTTTAGAACATTACCAATCTTACATACTCTAATCTTCAGAAGATGTATACCATGACTTATAATTTGGGGATATGATCATTTTCCTTATAAGAAAGACATTTTAGTGATGATTGTTTTTAACCTCTCTGTAGCATGATGACAGAGATGATGGTGTGGATTATTGGGCCAAAAGAGGAAGAGGTCGTGGTACTTTTCAACGTGGCAGAGGGCGCTTTAACTTCAAAAAATCAGGTAGCAGTCCAAAATGGACTCATGACAAATACCAAGGGGACGGGATTGTTGAAGATGAAGAAGAGACCATGGAAAATAATGAAGAAAAGAAGGACAGACGCAAAGAAGAAAAGGTAGAAAATTTCAGCTTGTTAAATGTGATTCTGATACATTTTTCTTCAGTTTTGGTGGGCCAATTAGTTAATTATTTCATTTTTAGAGACAGTGATTATTATGGATCATTTTCACTCTCCACATTTTTGCTAATCTTTTTTCTCTCTTTTTTTTTTAGGAATAGTAAATCTGAAGTGAGATTGCAACAGAGAGCAGAACTTGCACCCACCATTTTTTACCTGATTTTTGTTTTCAAATAAGAATGTAAGCATTTTACTTAAATTTTACTGTTTGCAAGTAGTCAATAGAAATTTTGTTTTAAGTCTTCAAATACCTTGAAAAATAGTAGACTGTATGTTGAAAATTGTACCGAAATAAAGTAGAAAATTGTTACGTACCATATTTGTAACTATCAACTTTTAAAAAATACTTTTACTGTTTTTGTTACATGCATTGTAATTCGCTTTGTCTATAAGATATGGTCAAGTACAGCTCTGTGAAAGTTCTGATTCTCTTCCTTCCCTGTTTGTTAATGTTTATTCTGAAGTAAACGTTAGCTCTACATACAAATCCCCGAACAGAAGTTGTTTATAGAGACCACACTAATTATTTTAACCGTATACATCTGTTTAACATTCTCCTTAATTCACAAACTACATTGTAGGGTGACTAATTTTTGAGGTGTACCACAGAAAAGGTTTTTACTTTGGTAAACTAAGCTAGTTAACATGTCAGCAGATGTTTAAGAGGAAAAAAAAGCTTTACCAATAGCTAAAAAGTACAAGCTATTTAAAAGATCCAAAAGTATGAGGTTTTTTTCTTTTTTTTTTTTTTAACTGAAAGCAAACAGTGGCCTACAAAAACTATTAGGATCCTTTACTTTTTGGGCTCAAAAAAAGTTCTCTTTCTATTCTTATTTGAAAGTTTGAGTCATGGTCTTAGATATCAGCTAATTTTTTTGAGAGAGGAACTGGTCTGTAGTAATACAAATAAAAAATCCATTCCTACCAAATGTATTACTTTTAAAAAAATAAAACAGAATAAAACCTGTAATCTTGGTCTTGGTATGGAAGAGGATTATGCTGCAGAATAACTTGATACATTAGAAAGATGTACCTGATTTCATATCTTACATATTTATTTGAGCTTCTGGACAGCTGAAACATTAGTTTGTAGTCTAACCATAAGGAAAAATAGGCAAACAAAACATACTGTTCATTAGTAGTATTTTAAGTAATTTGTTTTTCAATAAAAAGTTTTGACAGGAAGTTTGTTGCAGCATTGTCTAACTTGGTTTTACTTTTTTCCCTATAAAATGGCTTTCTTTTTCTTCCCAAGGGTTCTATTCTTCAGGTAGATAATCTTTCAGATGTGAATTACCTTTATGTTTATGCTGATAGCTCTTAAGATGAAAATCCGAAATAGTAAATTTCAGTGTTTGTCTGCTCTATGAGCATATATAAAAGTAGTCAAATTTCATTTGTTAATTCAGCAACCAAATTAGTTGTATATGTTTGCATTAAAAGGAGGTAATGCTTATTCTTTTAGTGTAAACTTTCAGAGATCTTAAGTACATGGATCTTTCGTCCTCACTTGATGATTTGCAGTGCTCCTAGCACCTTGATTGCAGCCAGGGGCATTTGCTAAGAACTGTAAGAGGGAAAAATATGAAAAAAAAAAACCTCAATATATGTGATGTGTATGGCCCTGGGATCTTTATTGCATGATTTCTCCTATCTTGTCTTTTCTGAAATTGTTACAGAGCAGAGGAAATACTGTTAAAGCAAGTTTGTTATTGCATTAATCAGGACACAGCTAATTTCTTCTAGTCAGAATAATAATTACATGCTAAAGCAACATGGATTTAATCTTCAACACAGTTCTCGAGAATTTTCACAACCATTTTATTTTATACAAATAAATTTAGCTTTTATTTTAACAGTTACTATTTAGTTAGATACTGAATCTCTGTGCATGACTATAAATGTGCAGTTTTGTTTTTCCACTTAAGACAATAGAATGGGAATTTGCTGAGAAATTATTTAATAGGGAGTGGGAATAAAGCTCCCTAGGTCCTATCAGCAAGTTATATTTTAAATGCAAATGCATTGCTTTAACCCAAATAGATACCTGATTTGGTTGCTTTTATTCTATTAAAATTCAGGAAAGGATTATACCAGAATTTAGTAGGAAGGGTGATAGAACTCTGCAATAGGATTCCATTGTGGATGTTACCTGTTTCAGAGCCAAGCATATGAAAGCCTGTGTTGTGTTTTTTTAAGCCACAATTTAAGTCCACACTTTACAACATACTATAAAGCTGAATGGTTCCTCTTGGTAAGGAATTTTGTTAACAAATGCCAGAAAATAATAACTCTTTGATACCTACATTAACAGACTTCCTTTTGCCTAGAGAAGGAAAATAAAAGTGAACCAAAGGATATTTCCAGAAAGGATTAAGAAAGCTGTTTAAGAAGGCCATGACTCAGTCCTTAGGTGTGTATACCTTTCAACATCCTAGGAATTTTAATATAAAATAGCAAAATATGTTTTTCCAATTGCATCCAACTTTAAGGAATTACTATTTGTTCCTTTTGTCACAGTTAAAATCAAGTGTTGGGAATTAAATTATAATTTGAGTAAAAATATTACCCAATACGAATGAATGTAGATGGCTAAACGATTCTTACTCAGTGTGATGTATATTGCAACAGGGACCCTTGTAAATTGTCATATGCCAATAAAATGTCATTAAGTGGTAATAGCCGTTGTTTGTTTACCTGATTTTGGAGACTTTCTGTGTCTGTTCTATACAACTGATTTCTATGGCCTATTTATAGAGTTTAGAATACCAGCTCCTCTGTTGGTAAAATTACTGGTATGTTGTGGCTTTTGGGGGGCTGATAATACTTTATAAAACTCCTTAAATCCCATTTACTGTTTTTTTGTTTTCCCTGGGAAAATGGGAAATTTTATAGTGGATAATTCCGCTGTTAGAGAATACAGGAATTCCAGATTTCTAGTCTAGTCTTCCAGTTCTTGAGTTAATACAGGAACTTGTTAGCCATAATATTACAGAGAATCAGCATTACTTCTCTTCTTTTTAAAAACTGCAGTAGCCATTAACTAAAGAGGTTGGGTTTTGTTTTGTTAGACTTGTTCATTTTGAGTAAGATCTGGTATAATTCTTACCATGCCCCTCTTAGAAATTACTTGAAATATAAAGTGGACCATCTGTCAATTTTAAACAAAAGCATTTTCACAGATATTTGTGTGCTAAGACAAATATATTTGCCTAATAAAATGACCGATTATCCCTTTAAAACTTTGTTAGACAAATAAAGAGCTTTGTGTGGATGCTTAATGTATTATACTGGGTAATTTTAGTGTTATATACCAGTTTCCTACATTAAATAAAGTATGCTTATTAGGGACCTTTAACTTTTTTTACTCTAAGGTTTACATAAGTTTCTTTTTTTCTTTTTTTTGGGTTTCAACTGGAATCCCTTTGGGAGTATTTGTTTTCATATGGAACAGTATTACTTTCACGTTCAGAGAAGTATAGAGACCTGTTTCAATTTATGAGGTTGCTATATAGGGAAGGCAATTGGAGAAATAAAATTTATTGTCATGGGATTGTATTTGACGAGACTTAGTCTCTGAATAGTAGATCATGATATATTCTTTAACAGAATTTTAAAATATTATGTTACCATACATTTAGGGTTATCAAATATTGTTGAAACCATTGTTAAATCTGAATGTGAAGGGTCTGATTTCTAGTTGTTCAGTTCATTGAGGTAGATACTAAAAATTAGGAGTCCATGTCAATGAGTTTTAAGTCAACAAGGTTTATTACTCAGTTTCTTAGAATCCAGGAATATTTGGAAATTAGTTGTATTCCATTTCCTTCCTCAAGAGCCTTAGAGATTGTGTAGATTTATGAGCTATTCTCCTTATGTTTCTCAAACATTCAGTAATGATTAGTTTGTGTTGACTGTGCAGATGAAGCCAAAGTTGTACATTTAATTAAGTCTTCTAGTTCTCTTTATATTGTTATGTTACCTCTTACTTTAGCCTTTAAAAATGGATCCCACTGGTTAAAAAAAGAGAACACCGGCATTAGGGTGGTGCTTCACTACTAGGAAAAGAATCTCAAATAAAGTACCTTATTTGTAGTGATGTCTGCATAAGAAAAATATTTTTCCTAGACATTTTAGATGGTTTCCCACAGTGAACTGATTTACTGCACTCGTAAAATGCAGATGATCTTGATTCTTGCAAGTAGAAGAGGGTTGGGCAAATGGATTTTAATGCTATTCTCCTAAGAATCAGAATCAGATTTTTCTTAGTAATGTGGTTGCCCCGGCTTCCCGATGAGCACTCCTTTTAGTAAAAGTAGATGATAATTAAGTACACCTTAAAATTAGGTGACTTGGAAGGACTTCTATTCACACCATGACCTGTGTATTTGGCAATGATAACTTCCTGGTACTGTCATAGTAATTGGCGAATTTTATGGAATGTGTAAAGCCACAGAAAAAGAATACCATTCTCATCCTCCAGAATAGTTGTTTATTGGCTACCTTATCTGGCCCTTGACTATGGAAGGTCATAATTACCAAAAAGGGAAAACTATAAACTTTTTATTAGGGTACTTCTAAAGCTGCCTTGAGGGGAATGTTAAGTACACTTTGAATTTTTTGAAAGAAATGGAGTATCATCACCAAATATAAGCATGAAAAGAAAGTTATAATAAAATACCAAATTTAACTGGTTAATGTCAGTATATGGTTATAGTCTATGCATACATTTGGTGATGATATTCAAATTTCAAAATCACAGTGTTGTCTGTTTTTTAACCCTTGTAATCTGTGGTAAAGATACCTCAGCTGCTGCAGTAGACTCCTAATTTGGACTCTTTGACCCTTAAATTTCATTCATCAGTTGCCATCTAAAGGGATGTTTTTCATTTTAAAATTAATGTCATTTTTAAGTTAAAACCCTTCAGTGTCTTCCTACTGCCTAAACTTAGTCAAGCTGAACAACATGAGCTGGTTTTTTGCCTTTGTGCCTTACCCACTCATTCACTTACCTATCTTAAAATCTTAAACGCTAGCAAAAATTCCAAATTCATTTTTGGCCTCATTGAATGTAGCACATTCTTTTAGGCTAGCAGCTCATTCCATTTAAATGTCTTCCTTTCCCAGAATAAATGTTTAGTTTTGAGCATCATGCATTGTGTATGCATACATACTATAGATATGAAATACATGCTCCTTGAATGTATAGTGAAAGCATGATATAATTGTGTATGTATAGAGGTTTGATTGGTATCAGCCAGTTTATTTTATGGCTGTCGCTAAAATAGTCTAAGCTGCTTTAAAATGTGCTGAATAGATTTCAGGTTGTGGTGAACAGACGTTAGATCATTAATCTTTTTATACATGGCTCATGTCACTCTTGTGTATTGTTTCGAGTATCATGTTTTTAAGAGTAAACAATATGTTTAAAGGAAGGGGAACCAGGAGCTTGAGGTCTAAAATAGTGTCATGTGAGTAAGTTGGAAAAGGAATGTGTACTATAAGGATTTTATTTATTTATTTGAGAGAGAGAGAATGAGAGACAGAGAGCATGAGAGGGAGGAGGGTCAGAGGGAGAAGCAGACTCCCTGCCAAACAGGGAGCCCGATGCGGGACTTGATCCCGGGACTCCAGGATCATGACCTGAGCCGAAGGCAGTCGCTTAACCAACTGAGCCACCCAGGCGCCCCAGGAATGTGTACTATAAAGAAATGGTAACTGAGATGGGTTCTTCTATTTTATTTTATTTTATTCCATTGTATATATATATACCACATCTTCTTTATCCATTCATCTGTTGATGGACATCTTGGCTCTTCCCATAGTTTGGCTATTCTGGACATTGCTGCTATAAACATTGGGGTGCACATACCCCTTCGGATCACTACATTTGTATCTTTGGGGTAAATACCCAGTAGTGCAATTGCTGGGTTGTAGGGTAGCTCTATTTTCAACTTTTGGAGGAACCTCCATACTGTTTTCCAGAGTGGCTGCACCAGCTTGCGTTCCCACCAACATGGAGAAGGTATGTTTACTGTAGTATAGAGCAATGATGACTGGGATGGGTCCTTGATAGCAGTCCTCAAGTATTTATAGGGCTTTCCCTTTAAAGAGGAAATAGAGTCAAATTCAAATTCTGTAGGATCAGGAAGGACATGTTGTATTACTTTGTCCTGCCTCGTCATTTTAACATGTTCCATATTTAGAGGGGACAGAACCAGAACCATACGTACATAGACTTATTGACTCAATGAGCTAATTGACAACTAGGTTTTTTTTTTTTTTTTAAGATTTATTTATTTGAGAGAGTATGCACACGTGTGCGTGCATGAGCGGGGGCGGGGGCAGAGGGAGAGAGAATCTCAGGCAAACCCCCTGCTGAGCATTGAGCCCCACACCGGGCTCGATCTCAGGACCCTGAGATCATGACCTGAGCCAAGATCAAGAGTCAGACGCTCTTAACCTTAACCGACTGAGCCACCCAGGTTCCCTGACAAGTAAGAGTAGCTAGCTTGTGAAAAGCAAGTTTTCTGCTTATTAGAAGTATGGAGAATCTGGATCTCTGTCAGGAATGCTGTGCTGCCTGAAGCTAAACTTTTTTCCTAGTTCTCTGTATTACTTAATTCAGGATTAAGGTTACCTTTTAAAAACTCTCAGGTGCTTGCTTTATTAAATTGTATGTTATCAACTGAAGTTACCAGTGATAAAAAATACTGCATTTTGCTACATTTTTTTTCAGTGTTGTGATAGGAATGAACTTAGATTGTTTAAGATTTATGCCATATTCTTATCTTTGGGTGGCAAATAATTTGTTATTAGCTGTAAGATAATAAATCAGTCACTTGGAATTTTTATGATATAGGATATCTTTATTGCTGTTACTTGGGGCCATGACTGTATTGAAAATTATGAGTTGATTGTTACTAAAAATGAAAAGGGCTAAATGTAAACAGTAGCAGTGATGTGTAGCTGACTGGGTGATCCAGAAGCAGAATAAGACTGGAAGGGCATACTTTATTTTTTCTGTGTTCTAGGTTTTAACCAACTCTTTTTAAGTGATTGACAAGAATTCAAGGCATACCTTCTTGTGAACATATATGACTGTAGCAGGAAACAGATTACAGAATCTAGGAAGTCCTATGAATATTCTTAAAAAATGGAACCAGAAAAATCAAGCAGCAGTTCACCTTTATGCTTTTAGAGAGGTCTAGCTGTAGTAGTCTATTTTTGTCTAAGACCTTTGGATTCAAATACTAAGCATAACCTAGATTTTCTTTTAAATAATTAAAGGTTCAAATAAAAAGAAATCCTGCTTTTAGGCTATAAACATTTAACTTAGATTTTATAATTTTAATATATCACTACAAGTAAATAGCAATTTACAGTGTAGATATTACTATAGTATAGATATATGGTAGACATTGAAATACAGTTTTAACTATTGTCAAGACAAAATGAGATTTTCAGGAGAGTTTAATTTGAAATATTTTAATAGCAAGGAAAATCTTGGTCTTAATTGCTCTCAAATAATATTTGAAATTTTTGAATAAATAATTGTAAAGGTTTAATTAATTTTAAAAGGTGTGTAATCTTTTAAATAGCACTGGTTTTAAGTGTACTGCATTGGTACTACCCCTGAGAGGCTTCAAGTGTAGGCAGAACAGAAGGAAAAGGGGCCTT